GGCTCCTCAGGGCTATACAGCTGCCAAGTACTACGTCAGTGTATGGCATCATGAGCATTGGTCTTTATGAGAGATAGCCCATTTTAAGCTTGTTCTGGGAATTGTGGGCTGAGCTTGATTTTCCTAAATGTTGTAGCTATAAAACCTTTCACTAAATTCTTTATTTGTTAGGTGTTGTTTTTTTTCTTCTCTAAGACATAAACTTGGAGAAAATCAAACAGCTCCCAATTTAACCTCTTTATTGGAAGTGAAGTTAATAGAGATTTGTCCTCATTGTGGGAAGGGAGATCATGGGGGCTTTTTTCATGACTGTTTGAGCCGAGGCAGGGCCAGCTTTTGCCTCTTAACCAGGAGACTGGTAGGGGCAGGAGCCTTGTTAGCCAGAAATTGGAATCCGATGACAGGTCTCCTCAGAGCAGAGCTCATAGTAAGCAGGAAGGTCAGTTATACGTGGATCTGACACCGTGTCCATGTATATAACAAGTCTCTCCAAGGGCTGAAGAAGCCCTGTATTGTTTCCACACTCTCTGTGCAATAATTTGTGCCTTCAGGAATCCACTGAGTGAAATCCAGAGAGTACCCAACCAAACTGGTACAATTGTCTTCACCTATAGCTGTCTCCCAGCAGGACTCAGTTATCTGAGTGAAGTATCTGGGCATCTTCCTTCTGCATTCAAAATAACTGAGGAGAAGAGAAGCCTGAAGAGACCCAGGATCACTACAGCATGAAGGCAGTATAGGAGAGTGGAAAGTCCTGGAGTTGGAGTCAAAAAACCTGCACTTAAAATACACTTACTATTGGCATAAACTTGGTGAACCTCCCTGGCCTCAGTTTTCTTCCGTACAAATAAAAGGATTAAATTAAATAAGCCCCAGGATCCCTTCTGGTCTAAATCCCATGATTCTGTGAACTATTGGGAGAGTAGTCCTAGAGAAGGGAAATATACTGTATTGTCCCAATGGTTACAACCATGACCAATACAGTTAACCAGACTTTTGTTAATTATAACTTGGGGGAGTGGATAGAGAGCCAGCTTTAGAATCAAGAAGACTGTTGGTGTGAGTCCTGCCTCTGACAACACTGGCCAGGTGACCCTGAGTAACTCATTTTACTTTCCTGTATCTCAGTTTCTACATCTGTAAAATGAGAGTTGGACCGGGTGAGATCCTTTCCAGCCCTAGGCCTATACTCCTGTGACCTCCCTGTGGCCTGTCAACACTTGAAGACTTAAGATTCAGAGCAAGTGCTAATCTGTATTGATTGAAGATGTTTCCTCACTGTAATTTCTCTATACTAGTGAAATCACAAGTCAGGCAAAAAAAAAAAAAGGATACACATGTGTATGTGTGTCAACATACATACACACAGCCCTGTTCTCAGTGATGGAGAATGTGCAAAGTTTAGATAAGACAATATCCTTGCCCTCATGGAACTTATCGTCGAACATACACACACTTAATTAAAATTCTCAGTGATAGACAATAAATACATTAGAGGTGCAAAACAAAGTTCTCTGAGAAATTGTAAGAGGAGATCTTTTTATTGACAAGGACGAACTGGGGGAGGGGGCTTCCTGGAGAAGGTGGCGTTTGAATTGGGCTTTAAAAGATTGGGTAACAATTTACCGGGTAAGGATGGGGAGGCTGGTCCCTGAACCCTAGTGTCGAAAGGGTCCTCCAAGGTCATCTATTTCAACCCATCTTGAACAACATTCCTTACAATATTGCCATCCGGTAACAGCAGGCTAGGACCCATTCCACTTCGGGACAGCTCTGTTAGGAGGTTTGGCCTTACATTGAGCTGATATCTTCCCCTATAGAAATTTCATTATTTTGCTCTTGGTTCTGGCCTCAGGGATCAAGCAAAATAAGTCATTTCTGTTCAGTATTTCAACCCTTTCAGTACTCGCATACAACTATTGTCTACACTTACACACACACACCCCATCATCATCTTCCCAGTTCTGTGAGCTGAAGTCCACATTTACTTCAGCCAGCCCTCATCTAGTGTGGCTTACAGTTGTCCAACATTGTAGTCACAGTCCTGTCGACAAAATCCATTTTGTCAATAATGCCTTTCCTAAAATGTGGCTCCTGAGGGTTTACCAGGTACTTCAGTTGGGGTCTGACAACATTCCTCCCATTGGGAACAGCATATGAAAAATATGTACGTGGGAAGATGCAAGAATGGGAAATTCAGCTCACTATAAGAAAAGGAAAATAAAAGCTCTTTCAGAGCTAGCCTATACTAATACTTGCTGGTTCTGAATCTTGTGATTTTATGACTCACTGTCTGTATGGATATAGGTAGCACTAAGGCAAGGAGTGTAGAGGGTTAATATAATCAAACCAAGCTTAGTTATCTCCCTAAGGAAGTTCTGCTATCACAGATTTAGAGCTGAGAGGGACTTTAGACCATCAAACCCAACCACTTAATTTAACAAATAAGGAAACTGAGGCACAGAGGGTGATTTGTAATCAATAAGTGGCATATCCTGGATTTGAACCCAGCTCTCCGAAGCTGAGTCTATTATTCTTTTTACTCTGCTTTCCAAAGTTATTCATCAATTCACTTCCAACAAATATCAATTGTAGCTTTGAAATCTCAGGTCAGGGGCTACTGAGGCACGTGGGATTGGCCAATGTGCTAACTGGCTCCAGGATGCTGAGTCTTTTTTAAAACCTTCTTATATCTTCTTTTGATAGATTTTCTGTCTTCTCCCTTAATGTCAGAATAATTACTGCACCTTGTTATTGCCATCAGTTGGCTGGCCTCAATCAGTCAAACTATTCCCTTGTCAGCTTCTGTGGACTGGGAAACTCCATCACCCATCTTGCTAGAATTATGTGTAAATTTAGGGTAACTAAGTCCTGAGCAAGGGCCTAAGGGTCTCTCCTCTAAGTAAAATGCATCATCTTGATTAGCAGGGGATGCTGTGACAACTATTTTAAATGCTCACAAGGCCCCGTGGGACTTGCTATTTACTCTCAGCTGTGTTGAATGTAATTGAAATTGCCTCATAAGTTAATTTCACCACTCTAGAACTTGTAATAATCTATTTCTCCCAATGGAAACTCTCTCCTTGATTTTCCAGTTAAGAACTACCCAGTAAGTGAAGATTAGAAAGACTGCTGGCTTTAGGGTCAGATAATTTGTGTTTAATCTGCTGCTTTCTGAGTGTGTGACTCAATTTCCCCTCTGTAAACTTCAAATTGCCTTCCCTGTAAAATGAGGGCATTCAGCAAGGTGTTCTCAGAGATCTCTTCCTATTCTCAGTCCAATATTTTTACTTTTATGTCACACACACACACACACACACACACACACACACACACACACACACACACAACTATATAAACCTGTCATCGTATCATGGTATAATTAACAAGAACTAAACTTGAGAGGCATCTTCGTCTTTTTCTATGGCCTCAGCTGACCCTAACCCCAGAGTATAATCATCAGGAAACAAGTAATAAATAACACTTTACAACTTCACTAGAAGCTGTGTGGCTTTCTAATTATTTATAAAAAGCTATATATAAACATGAATATTATCTTCATCTCTATTGCAGTACCAGGTTTTAATCAGTCCAGGAATAGAGATTTAATGAGGCTTCTATAAGAATCCTTCTCCTTTAAACAGCTCTTTATGGCTACAAAGTACCCCACACCTACCATTTCAACTGCTTTACTTCCCACCCACCTCCCCACCCCAAATTGGGAATGGTGGGCTCCACAGAAAGCTTTTTGCAAACCTTAAAGCGCTGTATAAATGCTAGAAATTACTGTTGTCATTGTTATTTTTTCATCTCAATTTTACAAATGAGGAAACTGAGTATCAGAGGGGGTAAAATGATCTTTCTCAGCACAGCCAATTAGTGTTGGAACCTGGTTTTGTACATAGGTCTTTTGACCCCCACATCCAAGTTCACATTGTACTCTATGTTGGTACCATCCCTTTTCTGTTCTCCTTCCAGATGTCAAATTTCCAGAAGTTTTGAAGCCATAAAAATGTAATTTTCAGGTGTTAGGAAGGATAAAAGGGAAGCGGGAGATCAGTTAAAACATATATTTCAAAAATTTTTTCAGTGTCCTTCACAGAAACAGCAGAGTATTATGGGGAGAATAGAGGACTATGAATCAGGATAGATCTGAGTTCAAATCTTGCCCCCAACACATAGTAGCATTGTGAGCATGGGCAGGTCATTTAACTTGCTGGTCACTGTTTCCTCATTCCCACTGCTGACCCCCCTGACTTCCTTGAAGTCCCAACTAAAATCCTACCTTTTACAAGAAACCTTCCCCAGGCCCTCTTAATTCAGTGTCTTCCCTCTGTTAGTTCAGTGGATACAACTTGCTTTGTATATATTTGTTTACATGTTGTTCACTGCATTAGAGACAGCTAGATAGTTCAATGGATGGAGTGCCAAGCCTAGAGTCAAGAAGACCTGAGTTCAAATCTGAACTCAGATACTAGCTGTATGACCCTGAGAAAGTCATTTCACCCTGCTTGCCTCAGTTTCCTCATCTATAAAGTGAGCTGGAGAAGGAAATGGCAAGCCACTCCAGAATCTTTGCCAAGAAAATCCCAAATGGGGTCGGGAAGAGTCAGACACAACCGAAAAATGACTGAACTCCTCCCGTTAGAGCATAAGCTCACTGAGGGCAGAAACTGTCTTTTGCCTCTTTTTATGTCCCTAGCACTTAGCACAGTGCCTAGCACCTAGTAGGTGCTTAATAAATGTTTATTGATTGATTAATAGTAATAATAATTAGGTCTCAGATTTATGTAGCACTTTAAGGTTTGCAAAGTGCAAACTATCTCATTTGAACCTTGCAAAAGCCCTATATGAGATAGATCTTGTTATTATCCCCATTTTGCAGATGAGCAAACTGAGGCTGAGAAAGGGTTTTGGGGTTTGTTTTTGTTACTCACCCAGGGTCACACAGCTAATAAGTGTCTGAGGCTGCTTTTGAATTCAGGTCTTCCCAACTCCAGGCCCAGCACTGTACTCGCTGTGGGATCAAAGAGATTATGTAGATAAAGTGCTTTCCAAACAACGAAGCATGCCATATACAGGAGTGTGAAGGAACCAGCTCAGACCAGCTGATTGTTACATTTTAAGTGGGATTACTTCTACCTCAGAAATCAGTAAGCACCATAAATCAGGGTTAGATAAAATATTTTGTTGTAAACTTAAGCAAATGATAGGAAAAAAAACCATTAATTCAGATTAAACTTAAAAGTATGCCCTGTGGTTTGTCTGAAAGCTAGTTATTTACCTTTACCAGCACATCCCTCAATATAAACCTGCCAACTATTATCATCAGTTGATTTTTGAAACCAGTTTTCAATAGACCATTTCATCTGGGAAGGTGTACTCTTTCTTCCTTGTAGACCCCAAGAGGTGACATATCATACGAGAAAAGAGCCTCGGACTTGGAGTTAGGAGAGCTGAATTCTAATGCTAGCTCTGCTAAGAGGTGGCATGACTTTGCACTAGATAGTTGTATCCTCGAGACCCTCAGGCTGTTCCTTGGTAAAATGAGAGGGTGATTTTGAAGGTTCTGTTCATCCCTGGCTTACCACCTTATGTTCTAAGGTCTGTCTCAGCTTCTGTATTCTGTCTTCTTTGTTCTCGAGTCTTATTCAGCTCTAACATTCTGTGATTTTTTTTCTATTCTCAAGTCTTCTGTAATTCTAACTGGAGAAACCCTTACAGGAATACATTTCCCTCTCTCTTCCTCTTGGGTATTAGATACTGCTCAGGCCGCTTTTTAAAGAGGTTGAGCAATGGACACCATTTAATGGAGTCCAAATAAACACAGGTCTCCTGACAGCCAGCTTCTGATTGAATTTATTATGGCATTACCGTCTCGCTTTTTAAAAACAAGCTGAGCTGACAAGTCGCCTCATCACTATTAAAAACAAAAAAAGACAAAGATGAATTACCCTGATGGAGGGTGGAGGAAGGTAAAGAACTTATCTTTTCCAAAATGCCGGCAAGTATATATAATTCATGTTCTTTTTAAAAAAAGTCACTGTCCACATTAAAATGAGGGTTTATAATGATAAGGCAAGTTGCTGAATTAAATTTTGGATTCGAGGAATGTCTTTTCACATCAGTTTGATGAACAGATAACAGCTTCTCTTTGTCCACTTGATCATCCTCGTATTGATTTCAAAACCACTTAACTGTCCCCATTTGCTTTGTGTCTTAACCGGTTCCTAGTTGTCAATCACTTACAGGATTAACATAAGCTCCAGTCAAAAAAAAAGAAAAAGAAAAAAACTCAAGAAAACACAGAGATTGTCAGAGCTGGAAGGGGCCCTAGAGAGATAAAAATATTCATGGGTAGAGCTGGAAGGACCCTTAAGTCCTGACGTAGAATGCAGAGCTGAAAGGATCCTGAGAAATTAGACTGTTAAAACAAAGAATGTAGGGTTAATTTAGCAGTAGAAGAGGCCAGAGAAGTCATCTGGTCCAGCCTTGTAAACTGAGGTCTAGAAAGGTGATATGCTTCTTGTGCAGGGTCATCTAGCTAGGCTTTGAGCTCCTGGGAGACAGGGACTGTTTCTTGTTTGATTTGGTTTGGCTTTTACCTTTCTTTGTATCTCCAGTGCTTAGCACAGCGCCTGCCCGGCACATAGTAGGTGCTTAATAAAGGCTGGTCAGCTGACTTTGTTGAGTTGTTTCAGTCCTGTCTGATTCTTTGTGACCCCATTTTGGGGTTTTCTTGGCAGAGATACTGGAGTGGTTTGCAGTTTCCTTCTTCAGCTCATTTTACAGATGAGGAAACTGAGGCAAACAGAATGAAGGGACCTGCCCAGGGTCACATAGCTAGTAAGTGTCTGAGACCAGATTTGAACTCAGGAAGTTGAGGACTTGTAATATTAATTCAATTAGACAAATATTATAAATTACATACTATAGTCAGTGTACTAGAACAAGGATGGAGGGAATTGCATGTATAAATAAGAAACAGTCTTCATAGTTCATAATCTTGTAAGGAGATAAATCTTATATACAGACTCAGGGGTTCAAACTCCAGCTGATTGTTATATTTTCAGTGTGAGCATTTACACCTCAAAAATGGGCAAAGGCTACAAATCAGGGCATAATTTATTGTTATGTTAATTGTCCAGACTCAAGAAAGTGCTAAAAGTATGTATACATACTTTTCCCGAGAACCTGGTTGTTAAACATTTACCAGTACACCCCTATATTGCTTTATAGACATTGCTTGAGATCAGCAGGAGTGTAGGAGAAGGCTCAGGGAAGAAATTCATCACCAGACTGGAGGCCTAATGACTGGAGTCCAATAACAATAATAATAATAATAATAATAATAATAATAATAATAATAATAATAATAGCAGCATTTATATAGTGCTTTAAGATATGCATAGTGCTTTGCATTCATTTTCTCATTTGATCCTCAAAATACCTGTAAGGAACAATATAACACAAAGAAAATAATAATAAATAAAAGAGGAAAAAGGGAAAAAATCAATACTCAAAGAGAAAGGAAGGAACAAGGAGGGAAGAACTAAGAGCAAAGCATAGAAGTTACAAAAAGACAACTTTTTTTCAGCTCAATCAATATGAAGAAAAATTTCCCAACTAATTAGAATAGTCACAAATATCCCCAACAAGAGGAAATGAGATTGTGGGATCTTGAGATTTAAAGCTGGAAGGGATTTTAGGGACCATCTCATCTGATCCCCTGATTTTACAGATCCTGACATTTCAGAGAGACTTCAGATTTTGAAGGGACCTCAAATGAGAACAGTGCCAGAATTTGAATTCAGGTTCTCTGACTCCAGATACCATAAGTGTACCACTGCTCTACCCGGATCATCCAAATAAAAGCTAAAAGCTAAACTCCTACCTTCTAAAAGAAGCCTTTCCTCAGTCTCCTTAATTCTAGTGCCTTCCCTCTGGTGATTATCTCCGATTTATCCTGTATATATTTTATCTGTACAGAGTTATTTGCAGATTGTCACCCCCATTAGACTTTGAGCTCCTTGCAAGTGGACACTGTCTTTTACATTTCTTTAGCACAGTTCCTGGCACATAGTAGGTGCTTAATAAATGCTTATTGACCGACGTGAAGAGATATTGTGACTGAGTTAGAAAAGTACCTGTCCTCAGCCAACAGCACCCCACCCCACCCCTACCCCCAGAGACTGGTATCAGTGAGAAGCTAGATTATCACGAATGAGAGAGTGACAAGTAAGCAGTGGGCCTGGATAATCCACAGCTTGGATAATTGACCCATGAATTTTTAGAAGTTGGCTATAAATGTCCCTAAACTGAGTAGAAGTTAATGAAGTAAGATGATAATGATGTTTGGCTTAGCTCCTGGGGAAGTTGTAGGGTTTTGGTTTTGTTTTTGCTGGGGGGCTAGGAGCACCAAGGGAGAGAAGGGACCAGAGAGAGGAATACCAATGGCAAAGAACTGACAAGCTCTAGAAATGAATGCATTCAGAGAGATCCCCAGCGTGGAGTCAAGTTTTAGCAGGCCTAGGAGATGTTTTTTATTGCAAAGATTGAAAAGCAATACAAAATACGTTACGAGAAGTTTGGCTAGAAACCCTTTTGGGGGGGTTGTACAGTTGGAAAAAAAGTGTAATGTGTGTTATTTGTGTTTGGGGTCTGGTGCCAGATGCCACTGGGAATTTTATTATGTGATAGCCTTATAGATTCTAGTTTCTGATAGGTTTACCCCTCTGAGGAGTTGATAGGTATGTTACAGACATGTGTTATAAAAAGGTACCAGTTAGGTGGATGAGTGCCAGGCCTCAGGAAGACTCATCTTCCTGAGTTTAAATCTGACCTCAGACACTAGCTGTGTGACCCTGGGAAAATCCCTCAACCCTGTTTGCCTCAGTTTCCTCATCTGTAAAATGAGCTGGAGAAAGAAATGGCAAACCACTCCAATATCTTTGCCAAGAAAACCCCAAATGGGGTCACACAAAGATTCAGACAGCACTGAATACAGTATGCAGGTGTTGAGTGACAACAACCATGCAAGAATCTGCTGTATTGTCACCTAGTAGATAACTCTTAGACTAGTAAACTTAGGATCTTAATGTATCTAGTTGCCAATCAGTTAGAGAATGGCTAAATAAACTGTGGTACATGAATGTAATGGAGTATTACTGTACTCAACTCCTAATCCCCTTCCCTGCCACTGATGACTTTGAAGAAGAGAAGGAGGCATGTGAAGACATATGAAATGATGCAGAGTAAGCAGAGCCAGGAAACATTATACAGAATGATTTAAATAATGTAAACAGGATGAAAACCACCCCTTAGCTACCAAAAAAAAAATGAATCTGAATATTGTGTGATTATAATGAGCAAACTTGACCCCAAAGAAGAGATAGGAGACAGTACCTCCCTCTCTTCTTTGCAGAAGTGGGGGACTGTGGTCATGGAACACCGCATATGCCATCAGACTCGATTGATATATTGATTAGTTTCATTGGACTGCTTTTTGATCACTTTCCTTTTTATTTGTTATAAGGGGTGGCTCTCTGGACAAGGGAGTGATATATTGTGTAATGGAGGTAATGTAAAAACAAAGGATAGCATTTTTTAAAAATATAGATGAAGTTTGTTTTTTAAAAGATATCTTCTAGTCCAACCTGCTTATTTTACAAAGCAAAAAATGAGGCTTATAGAAGAGAAGAGAAGAGAAGCTTGTTAAATGATAAATCCGTGATTCAAAACCAGATCTTTGACTCCAAGTCCAATGATCTTTTTACATCACTACTCTGCCTCTGAGCTGCCATCTTGATCCAACTTCCTTGGCTTTACCTCTCCTGGTTTGCCCGGACACTTCATACTTGTCCTAGTTCTGGTTCCATCTAACTACTACTGAATTACCATCCGACCCAGATTCTTAGAATTCCCCTTTTAATGACTTCATTGACCACCCTGTCTCTGACTCTGGTTGAAATTTTGGCATTCCTTCTTTTTTCCAAGGTCTGAAGACCGTTTTCCTCTTCCATGCCAGGAGCAATTTTATTGCTCCCAACAGCCCATGAAGCTCTACTACACACTCTTGCCTGCCCAATTCCATATTCTCTCACAGAATACCTTTGGATAAAAGTAGTTGTCATATGAGAGGGCAAATAGATACACTTGCATTTCATTCTTGCTCTTGTACCTAATGGATGAAGATTCCCAGAGAATAGCTCAGTCCAAAGCTTCCAAATTGAATGGCCAGGTTTACAGTCTATTAGAGGAACAGAGAATGTTAGATCTGAAAGGAATTTTATAATGGAGAAGGGAAGATGACTTGCTTGAAGTTACACAACTAGTTAGTTCCCAAGTTTGGACTTGAACCTAGATATTCTGCCACCTAATCTAGTGCTTTTCTTCTTGGCAACCTACTACCTCATAAACACCAACATTGGCCAATCCTTGAGAGCAGGGTTTAAATGTAAGGCATTCTCATAACCGCATTTTAGGTCCATAGAACCATAGAGTTAGAATTGGAAAAGACCTCACAGGCCATCTAATCTATCTTCTTCATTTTATGGATGAAAAAACTGAGTCTGAGGAAGATTGTGACTTACCCAAGGTCATAGAGACAGTAAGTATCTTCTTGGCCATCTGGAGGAGCTTAGCAGTGGTGCAGAGTAGAAGGCTGTCAGGTAACCAAATGCTGCTTTGCCATTCAAACATACCTTAGGAGGCCCAAGCTGTGGGTCCTACATTAAGAAACAGAAGAGGTAGCTCATGAAAGACCTTGGGATTAGGAGTGTCAATTTAGAGCATTTCTTGTTCCAAGGTCCTTTCCAAATCTGAAATTCTGTTAGCATAGCTCTTGTGAGACAACTGGATGTAGAGGCCATTAAACTATGATTCTCACCTCAAGAGTTTGGGGAAAGGAGAGGAAATGAAGAGGAACCTCGAGAGAAACAAAGGGGGAATGCCTTAAATATTGGTCAAGACCCTGAGAGTACAATGTCAGGAAGTTGAGGCCAGAAGGGTTCTGGAAGACAGCATGGCTGACAATGTCAAGATCTGATCAGAAGTTCAACAATTCCATTTGATGCAACCAACATTTTTTAGAGGCCTACTAAATGTAGATGCCTAAAAACAGACATGGAAAAGGGCACGTCCTATACCCTTAAGGTGATCACGTTGTCCTAAACCCATCTTGATGGTTAGCAGCGCCACAGAAACTGAAGGGGAAAAATGATTGGCATCATGGACTTCAGAACATTAGACAGATTATCTTCCACCATGCTTGAATTAGCAAAATTCTGGTGTTTTGTTTAGTTTTAAAAAAAAGAGTTTGAAAGAGTCTTGAGCATAAATCTGTTACACACTTAATGCATTGGGGCTATTTACATAACCAATAGTGACATTCTAGTAACAAATGCTTTTCAAACGTGGAAAGTCTAGAATTATTATTTCCTACCTTAAATCCTAAAATGAATATTCAGATCCTTAGAATACCGGCTTAATTAGCTGCTTTCATTAAAAAAAAAATTTTAATGGAAAGCTAAAGTTTTCTTCCCATCATCTTCCTTTGTCAGCTTAAGTAATGTGCACTGAATAAAACATTGGACTTAATTGCCAGCAGTATTTTAAAACTGTATATGCATTTGTACAGCAGGATTGCTGGGTGGGGGGTAGGGTTAGTGGTTGGGAAGGAAATCAAAGCATTTATACTTTCTAAAAACCCAGAACAGATTTTTGTCTTTTTTCTTATTTATTTATTTATTCAAATGGTAGTAGGTTGAAAATACCTTTTGCACTCTGTTTATGCTGTTAGGAATCTGTGGAATGTCAGAACCTGTGGAAAGGCTTTAGTGATTGTCTGATTTGACTCCTTGGTTTTGAAGAGGAGACTGATGCTAGAGAAGGGAAGAGACTTGTCCAAGGTCATACAGAATATTAGCAGCAGAGTAAAGGACTCTTAACTGGGCAGCTAGGTGGCACAATGGATAGAGTGCCAGCCCTGGAGTCAGGAGGACCTGAGTTCAAATGTGGCCTCAGACACTTACAAGCTATGTGACCCTGGACAAGTCACTTAACCCTGTTTGCCTCATTGTCCTCATCTGTAAAATGAGTTGGAGAAGGAAATTGGCAAGCCACACCAGTATCTTTGCAAAAAAGAAAAAAAATCCGAATGGATCACAAAGAGTCAAATATGACTAATCAACCTGGAAAAAAAGACTTGACTCCCAGTTCAGTGTTTTGAATTGGGTGTGGTAGAAGGAGCCTCTGGAGGAAAGAGCCTTTGGAAAGAGCTCCTTGGAACTTGGGGACCTGTCTCTGAATTCTGGTTCTAAGACTTAGTAATTAGCTGGATGACCTTGGGCAAGTCCTTTAACCTCCCTGAGCCTCAGTTTCCTTATCTGTAAAATGTATTTGCACTGTTGGAGTGATTGTACTAGAGAGTTATTATAAGGCTAGCTCTTGTGGGGAACATAAACTATGATGATCATTACTGTTATTATCAAATGAGATAACATGTGCAAAGTGCTTGGTAACAGCTGAGTAACGTACAAATGCGAGCTGCTATTACCATCAATTCTCAGTCTGTATTGCTGCCTCCCCTATCTTGTCGGCTTGAGGAAAGTGGTCCTTTTGCTCATTTATCATGTTTCAGACTTTTCTCCCTGATTCCGAGTCCATCAGCCCTCCTTGAGAAATGGCAGCAGCAAATTCCTGAATGTACAGTTGGTCTGATATCATTCAGCTGAGCTTCCGCTGGTCTGACACCAGCCATTTTGGTGCTAGGTTCATCGGCAAGTCTCTGCCCAGCCTAATTGCATACTTTGCATCCCAGCTGTCTGACATGTGCCAAGCGCTTGCACTGGTATCGTAGAGTGTAGAGGGCAACATCAGTTAGCTATGTTTTATTTTTTGGTATATTTTTGGCAATTTTCTCTCCTCAACCTCTGGGGAACCTTCAAGCCTTAGAATCACAGAATCAGAATTTAAGAACTAAAATATGCTTGAGAATCATAGAGTCAAAGAATATTAGAGCTAAAAAGGACCTTAGAACATAGAATGTTAAATCTGGAAGAGATCTTAGAACATAAAATGCTGCAACATAAAACGGAATATTAAAGCTAGAAAGTGCTTTAGGACATAAAATGTTAAGGATGAAGAAGACTTTAGAACATAGAACATTAGAACCCAGGAAATGGAATGTTAGACCTAGAAAGGCCTTTAGAACATAGAATGTTAGAACTCAGAAAAGGGAAAGTTAGACCTAGAAAGGCCTTCAGAACATAGAATATTAGAACACAGAAGATCGAATGTTAGACCTGGAAGGGACCTTAGAATATTTAAGCAGAAAAAGACCTCAGACGTCATCTGACCCAGGGTTTTACAGCTGATGATCCAGGGGGTATATTTATGGATCGGCCAAATTTTTACTACATATAAAAATGATCGATTTAACTGTCACTTCTGTCCATTCTGCTTTCTCTCAGTGTCCTACCTACTTTTTCTTCCCAGCTCCTGTTACTTCTCTCATCCGTTCTTCCCCCTTCCCCCTAATATTCTTCACCAAGAGTGGCCTTGCTGTGGCTAAGGAGTGCTGAGCAATCCCAGATATAAAATTTAGATGTTTTACTAGTTGGTGATGCTTTACTGACCTATTCTACCCCTATCTCTCATTTTACTAGCAAGGAAAGAAGATTTAGTCCAACTTCTTCATTCTGCTAAAGAGGAAACTAAGACCCCAAGAAGAGAAATTACTTACCGGAGGTCCTACAGGCAATAAATAAGTAGCGGAATGTGGTATTTGAACGCAAGCCTTCTCATTCCAAAGCCATCACTCTTTCCATTTAGTTAGTGTAAAATACAGTTAAAGTATTTTACAGCAATGGTGTTGAACTTAGAAATGGGGGCCACCAGTCTGTGGATAGTAGTAGCTAACATTTATATAGTACTTACTGTGCGCCAGGTACTGTGCTAAATGCTTTACAATTATCATCTCATTTGATCCTTACAACAACCCTAGGAGATAGGTACTGTTATTATCCCCACCTTACAGTTGAGGAAACTGAGGCAGACATAGGTTAAATGCCTTGCCCGGGGTCACACAACCAGTAAATGTCAGAGGCTGGATTTAAACTCCAGTCTTCCTAACTCCAGGTCTGGCGCCCTACCCACTGAGCTACTTACAATCCACCTTTTACTTTAAAAACCACATATTAGCATTATCTATGTTTTATTGTATTTTTTATTTATTTATTCTATTTATTCAATTACATTTTAATCTGGTTTGGGTCACACTTGGGAGTGTCATAACTACGTATGGACAGCGGGCTACAACTCTGCTATACAGTATAAGTACAAAAGTACAACTTAAGTATGTAAAGAAGACAAGATGATGAGACCCTTGTGTTATACTAATGGACGCTGACCTCGTTGATCTGCCATTTTGTTACCGTGAGACCTATTTCTTAGGCTGAGGGAGACAGGAGGTCCCCCGTAAGTTAAATGGTTTCTAATCAAGCTAAATAAAAGAAAACCAAGGAATACAGTTCTGGTGCCTTCTCTAAAACATCACTCCCACTTCTCTTTTTTCCCTATGATGGTTAAATGTTGAGATGCAATTGCTCCTATTTCTGAAAAGCTCTATTGAGACCAAAAAAAAAGGGATGGTTGTGTTTTGCTTTGAGGCTTGGCCATATGCCTGTGTTGGCTAGAGGCCTTCTATTGCCCACAGGGGAATGGGTGGAAGTCAACTTAATCTTCCTTCTGAATGCACAGTTACTTCATAGGAGACTGATCTAAAATTTCCTCTTCTCCAGTCTGCTTTCATGGAGGTTACACGAGACCAATCCAGGCCTGATGTAGAGTTCTATCAATTATAGAAAAATCCCTAAGGAAAAGTAAAGAGGAAAGACAGACTTGTGTGTGTATAGCCAGGAAGGGGAGGGGCAGAGACAAACCAAAAAAGTGGAAGCTGCCCCTAGAGATGAGATTATTGTAGTTCCTCGAACTAAGGGGTTAGACCGTTAAAGGAAATCTGGAAGATAACAGGGAGCAGGGAGAAGAGATCTGTCCATGATTCACTGAGGGAAAATAGAATAGAGTTCAGAGCCAGAGGGCTTTAGTTCAAGGCCCTTTGGCCAGATCGCTTCTCCTTCCTGGGCCAGGGTTTCCTCCGCTATAAAATGAAAGCGTTGGACTAAACCATTTCTAAGGTCTTTTCTAGTTTTAAATCTTGGATCCCATGATCGCAGCTCCCATCTCACCTCTCAACCTTAATACCTGGTTGGCCTTGGGGAAGAGGCTTGCCATCTCTGAGACTTAGTTTCCCCATATGTAAAATGAAGAAGTTGGGGATTTCTGTGTACTCTCCCTAGTTCTGAACCCTGTGAACTGCTTCAGACGAGGTAGTTCGAACAATGAGCGATTCCATTTTCCTTAATGACAGGAAACATATTTCAGTGCCGTTGAAGGGCGATTGATGGCATCAGTCTCCCCCATTAACAGGAGAGATAATTTCACATAAATAGATCGGGAGACCTCCCAGGCGGGATGAGGAACCTGCCATACCACTTAGCTCACTTGCCGTGTAATTGCATTGAGACCAAGGTCTTTGGGAAGGAAATGGCTGATGAAATTAGCATTAGTCAGATTCCTGGGGGGGCTTGATGCATTGTGGGTAGTCGATCTTGCCTCTAGAAAGGACAAGTTGACACTGGAGAGGCCAGCTGCTTACAAGTCTGGTGTTAATTGTTTTTCCCCCTAAACAGGGACAGGTTTATCACCCAGGGAAGTAAAGATTTGAGGATCTAATCATGCAGGGCCTGAGACTCAGGCCTTTTTAACAGACTTCAAATTTATGCATGCTGTCCAGGCCTCTTTATTACTATTCTTTGGAAAATATATGCCTTGGGGGAGCCAGTTTTCCTCATAGGGTGTAAATAAAGCAATTGTTACAGTCCCTGGGAGGGCATGAGGGGAGATGGCAGGTAGACTTGGCTAAGAGCTACTTGACACTGAAGAAAGACAGATTTATTTGAAATGTATAAGTCAATAAAAGAAACAGAGGCCCAGTGCTCAGCTGCGTCTAGGAACACAGGAAGGCAGGAGTGCAGATTTGTCTTTTGGAACATTGACAAGCTGGAACTTTTCCAAGGCGGGGCGACCAGGATGGTGAGAGGACCAGAGACCACGCAACCTGTACCACTCTTGTCTAGCTCTTGTCATAGGGAAGATGTTCTTAACACTGAGTCAAGATCTGCCCTTTTGCAATTTCCACTCACTGCTTCCTTTGGAAGACAAGGAGAAGAAGCCCAATCCCAATCCATATAACAGTCCTCCACATTCTTGAAGAGAGCAATCATTCCCCCCTGAGTGAACAGCCCTAGTTCCTTCATTCTCCATATGGTATAATCTTCAGTCTTCTCACCATCCTGGTCACCCTCTTCTGGACATGATCCAGCTTACCAATTCCCTTCCAGAAATGTGAAACTCAGAACTAAATCTCTCTGGGCTTCACATTCTTCATCTGTGAAAAATGAGGGGATTAAACTTCTAAGACCATTTCCCCTCTAAGACTTTATGATTCTTTCTTGGATCCCAGAGTTGACCCTTTCAAAAGTGGGCATCCTCTCCTGTTACTTCCAAAGCTGGAAACAAAGAACCTACCATCTTTCTCTGGGCCGTTTGGGTTTTGTTTTTTTTTTTTTTTTGGATGCAAGTTGCCAAGTCAAGAGTAACTCTATCTTCTAAATTCATCATGTGACTCAGTTTCCTCATCTGTATACTGGGGATAATTCTACTTGTACTGTTTATCTCTTAGTGTTCCTGTGAGTCATGCACTGTTTAAACCATAAAGCACCACAGAAATGTGAGTTATTATTATTAATATCTGGTTTTCACAGTAATGTCTAGCATCTCCAGAAAATTAAACTCTGCAGGAGATATTTGCAAACAAACACCTCTTAATAGTTGTTCTCCTGAGGGGGATCTTGCTACAAGATATTATGAGTAGAAGAAGATTATGACTCATCCTTCTGTAATCCCATGAGGCCTCAGAAAAAAGTGAAGAAACCAGACTTGCTCACAGGAAAATAGGCCATGGGTTGTTCTACAATGATAATGATGTAACCTCTAAGATGAGAGTCTCATTAGAGAGATGTCATGGTATAATAGATCTGGATACAGGTTCTGCTCTGTGTGAGTTGGGGCTAGTTATAATAGTAATAATAATGATACTACTACTACTAATAATAATAATAGCTAACATTTATATAGCCCTTACTATGTGCCAGAAACTGTGCTAAGCACTGTACAATTATCATCTTATTTGATCCTCACAGCAACCCTGGGAGGTAGGTGTTGTTATTATCCCCATTTTACTTCTCTGGGCCTCAGTTTCCTTTTCTGCCAAATGAAGACGTTGAACTAGATGTCTTCTGAGGTCCCTTTCAGCTGTAAATCAGTTATCCTTTGAAAGAGAATAGATATTGGTTCTTTCACAATACCTCTCATCTCTGTCTCAGCCTCTCTATTCCTACAGCCAACACCATAGTACAGGCTCTCGTTACTGCCTGCCAGTACAATAGTATCTTTTTAAAAAATTATTGATGATTTCTGTTTCTTACATCACTATGGTATCCCATGGAGTCCTTCCTCTCCCTGTCTTCAAGAGTCATCCCATATGATAAATAGGATTTTCCAGAGAGACTGAAAAAAGTCAGCACAACTGATTAAGACATTGCGAAAGGCCAAAACTGTGTAGCTCTCCCGCCTCCCCAAAGCGGTAGGTCAAGGGTGTCTTCTTGTGTGTCTTCATTAGTGTCCCACTTGACATCTATAATTTTGTTATAGTTATTCTTAATGTTTTTGGTGTGTTTATGTTGTTCTTTCCACTTACATTGTTGGAGTTATTGCATGTAATGTTTTCTTGGTTCTGCTTACTTCTCTCCACATCAGTTCACAAAGATCTGTTCATGCTTCTCTGTATTCATCACACACATAATTTCTTTATAGCACAGTAATATCCCATTATGTTCATGGATGACAGTTTGTTTAGCTGTTCCCCAATTGATGGGCATCCAGTTTATTTCTAGTTCTTAGCTTTCTCAAAAAGGGCTAGTATAAATATTTTGGAGTAGGTGAGGACTTTTTTCTTGTCAATGGCTTCTTTGTCAAAGCACGGTAAGGGCATCTCTGGTTCAAAGTGTATGAATAGTTTAGTGACTTTATGTAATTCACAAATAGTCTCTTAGTAGGCCTTTCCTTCTCTACTGTCTTTCTGATCACCGTCACCCCTCTCCCATCCCAATCCATCCTCCATACCACTGATGAATAATTCTTCTTACACAAAGATCTTGTCATGTCACGTTTCTGCTGAAAAATTCTTAGTGGTTCTGTCTTGCCTCCTATAGGTGTGCTAGTAAATATTTAACAACCAGCTCTTAGGGTAAGGAATGAGAGGGGGAAAGTATACAGGACACACTTTTAAGTTTAATCTGCATTGTTAACATTTTCCCTCACTTTCTTAAGTCTAGACCATCCACAAAACAATAAATTGAGCCCTGATTTGTAACGTTTACTGATTTCCAAAGTGTAAACGATCACATTAAAAATTTAACAATTGGCTCCAGCAGTCCTTGCCCCTAAGTGATATTAGTTTCCTCTGCCTAGAATTTAAGGCCCAGATCCCTACCCTCAAAGCCTTGTAGCATATTCCTTCCCTCTTTGGCTCTACATTAGCCAAAGTACTCTCAAACTCTCTGCCCCATAGAATACACATTGTATTTTCACATCCCAACACTTTTGCCTATATTGTTCCCCTATGCCTAAAGTGCCGTCCCTCATCCCCTTCATGTGTTGATTTTCTTCCTAGTATGTAAAGCATAACTAAAATACAGCCTCACCCAGGATCTCTTTGCTGATTGCCCACTAATTAGTAATGACCTTAAAGATCCCACAACATATTTTTTAACCTCTCTCATATATTTAGGATGTATTATTGGGTATTATAGTTTTCTTGGTTCTTTATCTCCCCTACTGAACTTCGGGCTCTGTAAGAGCAGAAATTGTGCCTTAACTAAATTTGGTCTCTCCCCTAATGCAGATTGAATTGCCCTGCAAACAATAGGGGTTTAATAAATATGTGTAGATGCTATGAATGTCCGATCTGTACAATTGGAATGGATCATTTTTTTCTTAAACAGCATTATTTTTCTCCCTCCAACCTCCTTCTACCCTTTCAGGCATGCCTGCGTCATTCGAGGCCAAGTGATGACATCCGATGGAACTCCACTGGTTGGTGTGAACATCAGTTTTGTCAACAACCCTCTCTTTGGGTATACCATCAGCAGACAAGATGGCAGGTAAGGGTTTCTTTGTAGCCATCAGGGTGTGAAGGCCTGTTTTCAGTGACCTTCTGGCCTTACTCTGACTGTTTTGCTGCTAATGGAACATGATATAAATGGGACCAAATTCCTGAATTGGTTTTTAAGTAGGAACAGTCAGGACTAGTTCATTCCTTCATTCATTCAACAGCTGTAGATTAAGTGCTTGCTAAGCGGTGTGTGTTGTGCTAGGTGCTGAGAGAAGTACGACAGTAATTAAGGCATGGCTCTGCCCTCATGGAGCTTATAGTCTAGCAGTATGAGAAAAGATATATACCCAGATAATCATTCAACCTGAAATGTTTATTTTGGTAGTCTTTGAGTATCTTTTGGCATCTTTGAGTATTGAGATAGTCTTTGTGTCTTATTTCATCCTGCCCTGCACGGTAATGTCCTATCTGATCTATTTATATTGAGCTTTAAGCATTACAAAATATTTTGTTCACAATGACTCCATAAGGTAGATAGGGCAAGAATTATTAGCCCCATTTTATAGATGAAGGAAATGAGGCTCAGAAAAGTTACATGTGGTTCAGTCAGTTGACAAGTATTCCTTAAGCGGTCAGGCACTGTGAATACAACAAATAAAACATTCCCTACTCCCAAAAAGCTTACATTCTAACTCGGGGATTCTTAACCTGGGGTCTATGGACCCCCAGGATGGGCCAGGGGGTACTTGGATAGATTTCAGGGGATCTCTAAACTCGGATGGGGAAAAATTATATATTGATTTTCACTAACTTCTTACTGAAATTTTACATTTCCTTCAGTTATGAATTTAAAAAAAAAGTCTCTAGGATTCACCAAGTGGCCAAAGGGATCTATGACACACAAAAAGACAAAGAGCCCTCGTTCTAACAGAAGAATCAGAATCAGAGCTGGGGGATATGAACCCAAGTCCTGACTCCAGGTCTAGCAGCTAATAAATGTTCATTGAATTGAGTTGAATGATGCATGCATCGTGGTAGAAGGTTACAAAGGTCTCTCAGATCAGATGAGAGAGAGGAAGAAGAAGGAATCTAAGGAAGGCTCCGGAGGGGATGACATTTGTGCAGACCTTGAAGGACGGGAAGAACATCAGTAAAGTCAAAATGGAAGGACAGTCCTGTGGTGGCTATCAGTTGTACCTTAAACTCTGACCACCTCATGCATAATATCAGTCACAACAGTGCCTGGGCAAAAGGGTGGGCGAGCTGGCACGAACACAAAAGCCCTCAAGCCAACATGTTTTGAAATGACTTTGCAGAGATGGCACGTCATTGTCATCCACCTCATTATGTGAGAGAGCCAGCCTAGCTATCACTGTAGATGCTCTTACATCAGAAATTGCATAGACTGAAGCTATCACAAGAATTGGCCTGGCTAGTACGTTAACTGATGGGCCAGGGCCTGGCCCTGGCATTGATCAGGCCATGTTTTACTCAGTAGTTGATTTAATTAGCAATTTATCATCATAGAATTTAGGGAGTTGAGAGACACTTCAGACACCATATGATTATGTCACTCTCCTTCTCAAAAATGTCCAGTGGTACCCCCTTTACCTCTAGGATAAAAATCCAAGGACATTAAAAAAAAAACCCTTTCCTACTCTGGCTCACACCTACTTTCCAGTCTTTTTTTCAGATTACTCCCCTTCCCACATCCCACATGTGTACGACTTAAACTTTCCTGCCCTAGTTGTTTTCCAAACTTGGCATGTCATCTCTCATCTCCCTGCCTTTGCCCAGGCTGTGACTCATGCCTGGACTGCACAGCTTGTTCACCTCTGTCTTTTAGAATCCCTGGATTATAATCTTGATCCTTTTTTAAATGTGCCAAAGTATCATTAGGGAAAAGTAAAGACTTCTTAAAATTAACAAAGCACTTTTACAACTGAAGGCTGATGATTATTGCTACTACTTATAACTTACATTTCTAAAGGGCATCAAGATATGCTTTACTCAGAGCAGCTAGGTAGCACAGTGGATAGAACACCAGCCTTGAACTCTGGAGGACCTGAGTTCAAATTCAGCCTCAGATATTTACTAGCTTTGTGACCCTGCGTAAGTCACCTGACCCTAATTGCCTCAAAAAAAAAAAAGGCATACTTTACTCACAATTTGCTCACAAGAACCCTGTCAGGTAGATAGTACAAGTATTGTCATCCCCTATTTTACAGATGAGGAAACTGAGACCAAGGAAGTGACTTCCCCAAGGTTGCACAGCTCATTAGGGCAGATAGCTCAGGTCTGATTCTTACTCTGTGTCGCCTTTCCACACAAGTGATAAGCGATACTTGCTGGGAGAGGGATGGAGACTCTAATATTTGTCCTGTCAGTAATGATGGGTTTTCTGTTTTAATAAACTAAGGTGAGAGAAGGTCCATCTGGCTAAATCGTGTATCCAGAAACTTTCTTCTCACCCTCCTGTTAGAGATAATGTTGCAGCCTGATTGATTTTTAACACCTGTTTAATCGACTACCAGGCTTCAGTTTGTCCTGGCCAGGGTGATAATGAAGTGGGGAATTGGCTGTTAAGAACCAAGTTTTTGTTAAGAGAAAAAAAGCACCTCATTCAGGAACCTTCCAAGAGGAAATGGGAGACAGTGAAAATTTGGTTAACAAGCATTCCTTTGGGACCAATGAATCCTCCCATTTAACAGATAAACTTTCCAGCCCAGACAGCAAGTGACATCCTTCTGAAGCCAATATGGACAATGTTTCCCTATGTTCACGTCCCATCGATCCAGCTTTAAAAGTTGTACTAGGGCTCAATGACGGTCCATGCACAGAGGGACAAGGCATCCGGGAGGTCTTAGAGCAAGGCCATTATATGTGATCCCCCAGTTCCTGAAGGCTGTTTCTATGATTCTAGATAAGGGTGTTGCAGGAACATCTTGTCTAATCCTCCCCAGGTAAGGAATCCTATCTACAAATTCTTCTAAAAGCCATCCTCTAACCCTAGTTGGATAATTTCCAGTGATGGGGAACTCATTACCTTATAATATTTCCCAGTTCATTTTTTACTTAGCTCTCAGGGATACGGTGCTATTCCTTATATCAAGCTGCATTCTGCTTCCTAATCATTACTGCACTACAAGGCCAAAGAGAGCAAATCATATCCCTCTACAATAGCAGGTCTTAACCTACTGGAAGAGAGCTATGCCCAAACCTTCCCAGGTCCTTCAACCAACCCTTGTATGACGTCCTTTACAGTCATCTCACATCCTGAACGTCTTCTTTTAAATGTACTGTAGCTTATTCATGTCCCTTCTTAAATATGGTAATCTGAAAAGGGCATGATGGGGTGGCCAGGGACTGACAAGAGAGACACTGTCGTCTCCCTCTGAGCCATAATCAGGGTGGGGTTACCCCCTGTTACGCTATGGATTTGGTTTGTTTGTTTGTTTAGAGAATGTTGACGTCAACATATTCCTTTGAGAAAGAGAAACACATACTGAGCTAGCAAGGATGAGTCATTAAAATAGGAATTTTTCAGATGATATTTCCTCCCCTTTTCCCTTCAGTCTTCCCAGCATCTGTACACCCAGTGAACTCTTACCCAGCCCAACTGCACCCTGCTCCCTCCTCACAGTGGCCCGGAATCCCAGAGTTTTTCTTTCCTGGGACAAGGTGTATTGCTGGGCCCCACCCACCATAAGACGCTGCTCACTTATATATAGTACTTTAAAGTTTATGAAACTCTTTACAAATATTACCTGATTTTGTCCTCACATCAACCTGGGAGTTAGGTGCCCATTTTACAGGTGATATTATTTTCCCCAATATCTGAGGCAGGTTTTAAATTCAGGTCTTCCCAACTCCAACTCCAGCATTCTATCCACCATGCCACCTAGCTGGCCTAGGTATACCTACATATAGACAGCCAACCAGTGAAATTTTTATTTAGGGAGCAGCTAGGGTGATGCAGTAGATAGAGCCCTGACCCTGGGGTCAGGAGATCCTGAGTTCAAATCCGGCCTCAGACACTTGACACTTACTAGCTGTGTGATCCCTGGGCAAGTCATTTAACCCCAATTGCCTCACCAAAAAGCAAAAAAAAAATATTTAGTGTACCTACTAGGCACCAGGGCTACACACACAAATAAGGAAATTATGCCTACTCACAAGGAACTTAATAAAAGAGTCTGAAAATCCTTCACTTTTGTGTTTGGGTATATTACTTCTCTGTGCCTCAGTTTCCTCTTCTATAAAAAGAGAAAGTTGGATTCAAAGATCTCTAATGTTTCTTCTTCTGACCCTAAATAAATGATCCTAGGATTCTATAAATACAGAGTATCGCAGTATTAAAAGAAAGAGCATTGAATTTGGGGTCAGAGCCCCAATGCTGGAATCTGAGCTTTGCCGTTTCCCCAAGGGATTTCCCTAGCCCTCAGTTTTCCCGTCTCTAAGATGAGTGGAATCAGATGAAGTGATCTTGGAAACCCCTTCCAGCTCTGGATCTGTCCCAAATATAAGACTCAAGTCCAGGGCAGGTATTGACGTCCCCGTTCTGTTGACACAGCGGCACCTCCACTAAAGTTGTAGAGGAGAGTCGGTGGGAGAGCTGGGAATGGCATTCAAAGCATCTTTCCTCCCCTCCTCCCGCCTTCCCTGTCCTGCTCCCTGGCCATGAATGGCATTCTTTGAAGGCAGGCAGGCTCCATCAAGGCAACACCTGACACTTAGGAGTGGCAGCCTCTCCTGCTACAATGCCACCACTTCTGGGGGTTCTCTGCTCCCCAAGCCTGACATGAGATCGATACCTCTCCATCTGTCTTACATTTGATGCCCGTACCCAAAGCCAGATTTCTCCCCATAGGTTAATGAGCCTGGCCCCCACTCATGAGAGCCGAGCTCTTCCTGCAGGTCTCTGTGCTTGCCCTGTGGAAGGGAAGGTGTTTCTAAGAATAAACCCAGAAGGCTTCTCTCTCACCAAGAGCCTGTAGGATGGGATTCTCCCCCACACACACACACACAATTTGCTCCATCTTTTGTCGTGCACAGCCTCATGTGAAGGGAGCGTTCTCCCTGTCTGGTTGTAGCGCTGGCCAAATGCTAATTAACTGTTAAAAATGTCCTCGTCAACACACAAAGGCTGTTCAGCCTGCTGAGAGGCAGCAGCAGGTTCTCAGAATCTTTTTTAAAGGAGTAGGTCTGGGAAGCCAAAGCCCTACCTGGTATTTCAAATCAGGTATCTTCCCCGGAGTCCTAGTCCAGTGGATTTTTGGTAAGGAGGGAGTTCGGCTTTCTGGACATTAGTCAGCAATTTTATTGTGCAAGTGTGTGCCCAAGATAGTAAATAACAAAATTACTCTGCAAAAGAAAGAGGCAGCCTGAGGATGAGGAAGCTGGAAGCCATCAGGGTAAGAGTAGCCTTGCAGGAGCTGGTCAAGTACTTGTCACAAAGAGTACAGGCAATCTTTTTTTCAGGTACAGTATAGCCTCATTGACCTTTGAGGTCTAAGCATAGCGCTCTGCACATAGTAGGTGCTCAATAACTGTATGTTGTTTGCTGTTCCTCCTGACTCTTGAGTGGCTCTGAGTCTGAGACCTGGGTTGGAATCCCACCTGTGTCACTGACTCACTATGTGACCTGTGGACGAGTCACAGCAGTGCCCTGGGCCTCAATTTTCTCATTCGTAAAAAGGAAATAAAGGTATTTGGGCTGTGTACTTTATGAGGTTCCTATGGATGCTCAAATGATATAATGTGATCATTAGCAAAAGCCTTTTGTTACAGTAAAGTACTATTCCACCAGGTGATGGGAACAGGGTTCTGTAAAGAAAATTTCAGGGGCAGCTAGGTGGCACAGTGGATAGAGCACCAGCCCTGGAGTCAGGAGAACCTGAGTTCAAATTTGGCCTCAAACACATAATACTTACTAGCTGTGTGACTCTGGGCAAGTCACTTAACCTCAATTGCCTCACACACAAAAAAAAAATTTCAGAAAGAGGTCAGAAGATCTAGTGCTAGGAGGGACCTTAGAAATCATGTCATCCAACCCTCTCATTCTACAGATGAGGAAACTGAGTCACAGAATAGTGAAGCAACTTGTCTAAAGTCACTCACACAGGTAGTAAGTAATGGAGGCAGAATTTGAACCCAGGTTCTCAGACTCTGGATCTAGGGTTCTATCTACTATACCATGAAGGCTCCAGATAGATTTTTTTTTTTTACTCTTTAAGAGAAAAGCATGGATAGGAATTATTCTTTGGTATGGGAAACTCCCAGGTGAAGGAGCTCTCTCTACCCATGCAGGTCAGCCCCTCCTCTGCACTTAAAAGCTTCAGAGAATTACCTGGGGACATTGGGAGGTTAAATGCCCAGCTCACATGACTAGTACATTATGTCAGAGATGGGACTTGAAACCACATCTTTCTGGCTTTGAGGCCAGCTTTCTATCCACAATTAGGCACAGTTTCTCTCTCTTTAAAATAATAATATGAAATTAGGTACAAGTCTGATTCATGTGCACCTTTTTTTTTTTCACTATGAGATTTAGGCCCAATTTTCTCAATCCTACACACATACACATGCTTTTCCCCAGAGTACTACCTTAGGCACTGCCCCAAGCTAGCATTTAGAGAATCTATCAATGCATGTAAGACCCCAGAGTTTCATGGTGTAAGGGATTTAGGAGATGTCACGTCAGACATGTGTCAGAGAGGTAGAATCATAAACCTGGCACTATCATTATGGGGGAGGAGGGAGTGAGAGAGAGAGTGAGAGAGAGAGAATTATCTTAAGGGAACCCTAAAGGGCCATAGAAATGAGAACTGTTACTCCTCATGTTCATCTGTCTGGTTTCCCAAAGGCAGTGTTTTGTACTGGCATAAATAGTAGTAGAAAAAATCTCTTGATTTTCCAGTGAAATGGGTAGCAAGTACTCTTAAGATAAACCATGCCAACCATACCAGTGTCGAATGGGTTCTTCACCAGAAAACTGGCTACCAGGCATTTCAAGTTGCCAATGATAGTAAAGCATGAAAATGAACAAAGTCTTGAGGAGTCCGGGTTTTGTCTTAGTGAAAAGGGTCTATAGTGATGGAATCATATATTAAAGTCATATTCAATGGACCCTTAGAAGCACATGGTGAACAAAGGACTTCGCATACCAGTTAAGCCCATCTGCTAAACCCCAATCCTGCTGGCCCATGTCAGGAGGGACATTGGCCAACTGGAGAGCAACCAGTATGGTGAGGGTGTCGCCATCAGGGTATTACTGGGGGAGCTGGGGATGGTTAGCCTGGAGAGGAGAAGACTTAGGGAAGGGCGTGATTGTTACCTGAGGGTCTGTCGTGGGAAGAGGAATCAGGCTTTCTCAGCTTGGCCCTGGAAGGCACAACATCAGGTATCCATATGGCAGAATAAGGAATTCCAAGAAAAACTCCCTAACACTGAGTACTTCCCAAAAGGGCTTTGCTCTGGGTCTTGGGGCAAAGGCTAGGTGATCCCTTGTTGAGGATTTGTTAAGGAAATTCCTGCTCTAGCATGGACTGAACTAAGTAACCCCCCAAGGACCCTTCCAACACTGGCATCCTGCGATTCTGGTTTGATCAACTTAGTGGATGGATTTCAGTCAAGCACCTTGGGCGGCCTTCTCTTTGAGAAGCCCAGCATGCAGGTGCCAACCTTACGAAATACTCTGTTGAGACGGGGGTGCCAAGGAGGGAAGCAGACATTCACCAACACATTGACATTTCATAACCCGTTTCTTATGTCTCAGAGTCACCTAGGGGCTTCAGGGTTTACCCTCCAAAATGATGGCAGTTACGTCACAGATACTTAATAAGAACAGGAAACGTTGTCTGGCTTGGCATGACTTTGGCTCTAGTGGAAGGAGTGTTCAGCTTGGAGGCAGGAGGACTGGATTTGCTCCTCAGTTGAAGTAAAACTGTAATATAGGATTTTTCCCCCTATTAGTATTTGATCTGTAGCTCTCCCTTTTTTGTTTCCAGCTTTGATCTGGTGACAAATGGCGGGATCTCCATCATCCTGAGATTTGAGCGAGCGCCGTTCATTACTCAGGAACACACACTCTGGCTCCCGTGGGACCGCTTCTTTGTCATGGAGACCATCGTCATGCGGCATGAAGAGAATGAGATCCCGAGCTGTGACCTCAGCAACTTTGCCCGCCCCAACCCTATCGTCTCTCCTTCCCCTCTGACAGCCTTTGCAAGTTCATGTGCAGAGAAAGGCCCTATTGTTCCTGAAATCCAGGTACGAAGCCAGGGTGTATGAAGTAGGGAAAGGGTGTTGGGGCCAGAGATTCAAAGCAATTCAATTCAGCAAATGTTTATTAAATGTTTGTGGTACTGCACTAGATACTGAGGTTACATTTAAAAAAAAGATTAAAAAGAAAGTGCATGACCTCAAACAGTTCATTGTGGCAATGATGAGTAGCAATGATGTCTACTCAGAAAATGCAAAGTAAAGGGTGATGAGAACAAAGGGAAGAACTTCTGAGTTAAGACTCTAAAGTAATGAGAAGGTAGAGAACATTTTCAGTAGGGAACACAAGCAAGGCAGTAGTTCCAGAGATGAGCCCTGAAGGAAGGTAAGTATTCTGAAGGACAGAAATGAGGAAGAGTGAAACTAAAGAATTGGGGAAATGCAAGAGGTGAAAGATGGCATTTCAACATCAGAGAACAGTTAATTGTAATCTAGATTGGCTAGCATGTGGAATATGTGAAGGGAAGTCATATGAAATTAGGCTGGAAAGGTTGGGGAAAGATTGTGGTGAGCCTTGGGTGCTAACTAAGGAGAGTGTATTTTAATCCTAAAAACAATAGGGAGCCATTGAAAGGTTTTGAAGAGGGGAGTGGAGGTGCTCAGGGCTGTGTTGAAGGAGGGAAGGAAGAAAGGAAGGGAAAGAGAGAAAGTAAATTTCAGTGACTACAGTGTGCCAAGTACTAGGGATATGAATGCGAGCAAGAAGAAAAACAGTGCCTGCCCTCAAGGAGCTTATATTCTAATGGAGGAAGACTACACACCAAAGGAAGCTAAAAGGCAGTGGGGGATGATGAAAGTAGTGAAACAGGCCTGTGGGTGTGAAGGCCAGAAGCTAGAAACGAGGCCCCTTTATCTTTGTTTTTAAGTATAGTAGGTTGAGGGTGAGACATGTGGAAAGGATAAAGAGACCGTACTATATGATGAGTATTGCAAGCACCATCCATCAGACTGGGTGAATTATAGCATCAGATCTAATTAATTAAAACACTGGCGTGGAGGCCACAGAGAACACCTGTGGTATAGATTTCCAGATTTAGAGTATGAAATGGTGCCTCACTCTGTACTTGAGAATCCTAGAAACATAGGGTGTTAGAGGAGGGGTGACTTCAGAGCTTATCTGCTCTAGTCCCTCCTTTTCGTAGACTCATTGAATGGGAAATCTGGAACAGACCTAGAACCTAGAATATTTGAACACAGAATACTAGGAATGGAAAGGAGTTGAGCACATAACCTGCTTAGACCAGAAACATAAAATATTAGAGCCAGGAGGGGTTATATAATTATAAATCACATACTTTAACCTGGAAGGGACCTTAGAGGTCATGTGGTCCAACTCCCCTTATTTTACAGGTGAGGAGTAACCTAGAGATCTAGAGAGTAATCTAGAGAATACTAATCTAGAGACCTAGGAGTAATCTAGAGCAATCCTAGTAATCTAGAAAGTGATCTAGACATCACTGAGCAGCAGGTCTGGGAGCAATCTAGAGTAGTCCTGGTAATCTAGAAAGTAGTCTGGCCATCACTGGGGGTAATCTAGAGTGATCCTAGTAATCTAGAGAGTACTGATCTAGAGACCTAGGAGTAATCTGGAGTAATCCAAGTAATCTAGAAGGTGATCTAGGAATTGCTGAGCGAGAGGTCTGGGAGTAATCTAGAGTAATCCTGGTAATCTAGAGATTACTAGTCTCGAGACCTAGGAGTAATCTAGAGTGATCCCAGTAATCTAGTAATCCTAGTAACCTTGAAGTAATTTAGAGATTACTAATCTAGAGACCTGGAAGTAATCTGAGAGCTAGAGAGGTTATCCCAAGGCTACACAAAAGTCTGAGAGATTATCTACTGCTCTTATCATATTCATGGGATCCAAGTGACCGTCCACACCAACCATCATATTTTCAATTTGTTTTGGCCACAGTAGGGGTCATCCACCCTGGCCTGCCTTTCCTCCCAGGAATTGACCCATAGCATCTGAGTGTTTTAGGGTAAGAAGGAGCCTCAGCAACCTTCTTATCCAGCATATACCCAAAAGGATCCCCTTCTAACATCCTCTTTGTCTTGAAGACCTCCAAGGAAAGGGAACTCAGCACCTCTCCATTTAAGTACGTTCTGATTATTATGAAGCTTTTCCTAAAATCAAGCCTACATTTGTCTCTTTGTGGTTTCAGCCTATACCTTCCAGTTCTGCCCTCAGGAGACAAACAGAAAATGGGTAATCCTCCCTTCACACGGTAGTCTTTCAAACACTTGAACATAGCTACCATGTTTCTCTTGAGTCTTTTTTCACCAAACCAAATACTTCCCCACCCACAGTTCCTTCAACTGATCCTTGAATGGCATGGACTCCAGACCCTTTATCACCCTAGCTGCTTTCCATTCCATGTCCTTCAGCTTATCAGAGTGGCTCCAAAGCTGAACAAGGTCATCTGACCAAAACAGAGCCCAGAGGGACGGACCTTCTTATTCCTGACACCTGTACTACCCAGTGCAGCCCAAGATCACATTAGCTTTTTGGCACATAACATCACTAACTCATACTGAACTTTCAATCCACTTTAAAAAAAAAAATTATGTAGGTATCCCTAGAGTTCATGTGACATCCACCTGGGAAAACTTACCCATTGCTTTAATGATTCTCCCACATCAAAGAATCACAGAATCTTAGAATTTAAAGGACCCTGAGAGGGTAAAGTGTCAGAGCTGGAACATCAAGTGGCAGCCAGGGGCCGTAGTGATAAAGCATTGAGTCTGGAGTCAGGAAGACCTGAATTCAAATATGGCCTCAGATACATAATAGTTGTGTGACCCTGGGCAAGTCCCTTAACTCAATTTGCGTCACTTTCCTCATCTGTAAAATTAGCTGGAAAGGGAAATGTCAAACCACTCTAGTGTCTTTGCTAAGAAAACCCCAAATGGGTTTTTTTTTGAAGTGACTGAACAAAATCAGTAAGTAGAAACACATGGTCACAAAATGGTCCAGTGAGAGTAGGGGACAATGTTAGATACTGCAAGTAGTCGTGCATAGAGTGTTGGACTTAGATTCAGAACGTCCCTGGTTCAAATCCCATCTCAGACAGTATGGTCTTAGGCAAGTCACTTAACCTTTCTAGCTTCAGTTTTCTCATCTGCAAACTATAGAGAGCCTTTAGTAAGCTCTTACTGTAAGTCAGGCACTGTGTTAAGCACTGGGGATACAAATACAAGCACACAAGGCAGGCCTTGCCCTCCACGAGGAGCTTATGTTCTAATGAAGGAAGACAGCACATTTTGGGGAGCTAAAAAGAAGGGAAAGGGGAGGATGGAGATGAAAGGTTAGGATGGCTGTTTAGCAGGTGAGGAGGAGGATTTTCTGGAGAGTACGGGCATGAGTGAGGTGAAACCTAGCTAGGATCTTTCCTAAAATGGGATCCCAGGTAGGGAGTCATCAATGAGGGGAAGTCCCAGGATGGAGATTTCTCAGGGTAGCGATGCAACGAAATGAGGGGGCTGGACTTGATCACCCCTGAGATTCCTTCTAGCTTGGACTCTATAGTGCCATGATCCTCCAGTCCCCAAAGAGCCTCATAGTGGCACTGAGTGGCCCACGTGAGCTACCACCATAAGATGCTCTGCCCCCTCTTCCAAGTGCACCCTGAGAAAATAGAGCCTGATGCCAGCAATAGCTCCCAAGGGAGTGTTATATAAGGACAAAACGCCTGGTTCTGTCTGAGTAGTGACAGTGAGGACTGGAAGAAAGTCAGGGGGAGGGCATCATTGTTGGAGCCAATGGGTGGAAATTACATCGTAGGTGAGTTTAAGGAAGAACAATCTGAGCTTTCTGAAAATAGACTAGAGGAGAAGGAAATAGGCATTTATATACTGTCTACTATGTGCCACACGCTATGCTAAGCAACTTTACAAGTATTACCTCATTGGAATCTCACAACAATCCTGAGAGATAGGTGCTATGACTGTCCCCATTTTGCAGTTGAAGAAACTGAGGCAAGCAGAGATTAAGTGACTTGCCCAGGGTCTCACAGCTAGTAAGGATCAGATTCGAACTTGGGTCTTCCTGACTCCAGGTCCAGCACTCTATCCACTGGGCCACTTGCTACTTCTTATGAGGTAGTTAGATCCCCCTCTAGTGTATTGTGTCCCAAAAGTGGGAGAAGTGGGATGGTGAGAACTCAATTCAATTTAACAAGCACTTATTAGGCACCTACTGTGTGTGCCAAAGTTTGTGCTAGGTGAGGATACAGAGGCAAAATTGAAAACAATCCCTGCCATCTAAAAGCTTGTGTCCTGCCGTGAGGAAACAATAATGAACACAAATAAGTAAACACCCAGTGATCTTGGCGGAGGAGTGCCAACCGTTAGGGAAATCTGGAAAGGTCTCCTGTTAGGAAGGGCACTTGAGCTGAGCTGAGCCTTGAATCCAGCCAGGGACTCTAAAAGGCGGTACCAAAGTAAGAGAATATCCAGGCATGGAGGGCAAGGGAGAAGCCACCTATGCAGGGTTACAAAGGCAAGAGGATGTCATTGTGGGGAAACAGTGAGGGAGCCGGATTGGCTGGAACACAGAACGCATTATGCATTAGGGAGAGTCACGGGAAATGAGGAGGGAGGTTGCAAACCATGTCATACAAGAGCTACTCAGAGGAATTGGGGATATTTCACCTTTAAAAGAAAAGACTTGGAGGAAGACATGATTGCCGTCTTCAGATATTTGAAGCATTTGTCACATGGAAAGCATAGGCTTATCCTTCTTGGCACCAGAGGGCAGAATCCAAGCCAAGGCTGTTCTCAGCTCAGCAGCAGGAGGGAACTCCTCAGGACCAGAATCGTCCAAAAATGAAACAGGCTGCTTGTTGCAGGAGGTCCCAAGATTCTGAGGAGGAAGGCATCCTAGAAACCGTCCAGTCCAACCCACTCCTTTTCTAAAAGCAAGAGGCTAAAGCTGAAAGGGATGGGACTCCAAAAAAAAAGTTAAAATAAATGAAAATAAGAATTAG